CCCGTCTACGCCCACCACACCTACTGCGACGCGACGGTGGCCCCGACCTGCGCCCAGAACTCCACCCTGAACTACTGCCTCGATGACGAAGAGTACCCCCAGTACGAGATCAAGGCCTACGTCCACGCCGACATCGTTTTCCTGAAGAAGTACGCCGACATCCCCTCCCAATCCGCCGACGACCTGGTGGACGGGATCACCAAGGAGCAGGAGGAAGGCTTCGACTACTCCTACTACACAGGTGCTTCCACGGGCGACTCCCCTTACGACCTGACCCACTGGTCTGGTCCTGAAGGCTATCTCTGCCCCTCCGACGTGGTGTACGCCATGCCCAGGCGTGCCCGTAACGTCGAGGGAAAGTGGCGTGTGATTGTCAACGACGTGCATTACTACACCCAGACTGCACGGCTTGAGACCTGCTTGTTCCCAGGAGCCGCGTGCCGCGCCCTCGCCCCGTGCTTCAGCAGCACCTGCACCCAGAAGTACATCTACCACCGCCTCCTTTCATGGGATCCCTGTGACCCATACAAGGGCCTCTTCATCGACGCTTACAGGCTGCCCGCCGCGTGCTCGTGCCATGTGCCCACTCTGTAAGGCCCCTCTCGTACCTCTTCATGGTGAGTTGTAAAGGATTCTCAAGCATATTTGTCTCAAACTCCGAATTATGATAATGAAGCCTAGTTAAATATCAAAGAAGATACTGGTCAATTTAGAACATTTGTTTTAAAAAATCAAATTTATTGTTTGAGGAATACTTGAAAGTCTCACAGACACTACCACATGCTCATAACTGTCTAGTTGGAAAAGGTGTTGCTAGTTGGAAAATGGCTGCCTGATTTTGACAATATCTTTATATTTTTATAGTATACTATGCTTTTATGGTTCCTCAAATTCTATCCAGAGCGTTCGTGCTAAGACGACTTCTGATTAACCAAAGATACAAAGAATTGCTTTCTTTTAATTCGCCGCCATCGTGTGACGTCAAACAGAGTCGTCTTAACACGTTCTTTAAATTTGCTCCTTCTTTCCCACGACGCTTTCACTGATGAAAAAATATTATGTCGAGAGTCTATGCATTAAATTACAGTTCCAAAGTTCATTGCTTTTGGTTTGGAAAAAAATACAAATCCTTATTATCTCGCACCATAAATTACCAGACTGTTGCTTTGTTGCATTCATTATTTTACAGTTGTTTCATAAAAGTATTGTGTCACCATGAAAAAAGTTATATTTTTTTGAAAGAAGACTCAGACAAAAATATTCATATGAGAGCGAATTGATGAATACTCTGTATATAAGATTAAGATTTAATTGACAGAAACAATAAAGATATTAAGATGATTTACATGTTTATTTTTCCTGACATCCCAGCTAATGATGGTTCAGATATTCAGATTACAAAAGTGTGAATTATAAATTGAATAAACCAAAGGTCTCACTTATACCCATGCTTTTTTTTGCTATTGATAATGGCAATGTGCAATAAAGTTCACCTCATTTATCAAATATACTGTAGCACTAAATATTGAATACCGTAAATTCAAAATCCGCTTCTTATTATTGTATGCATGCCAAACATATTTTTTTGATATTACATGAACTGGATATTTAGTCTATAAGTTCATAAGTATAAGTTGTTGCTATGATGTTGGTCTGTCTTCTTATTTTGGAAGTGTTTCTCTATTGCAGCCAACGAAAATGACTTGTGGATAAGGGACGATAGAAAGAGAAGAACTGCAGGTTTATTTTAACAAATGCACGAATGAGAATGAACAATTCAATCATTATTATTACCTTTTTGGCGCAGATGAGAAACTCCAAACGATCTCTAGGATGTCCATGTTTACCTAATCGCTCCCACGTCAGTATTTTTCTGTCACCTCTTTTTACTGCAAGCACTGCTGTTAAACTTTCGCATGGGCTTTATATTTCCTTTGTAGACTCCTTGCGTGTCCAGGATATCGCCAAGAGCATCTTTAAACAAGGGTATCTTTTAATTATTCATAGGACGAGGCTCTAATAACATAATTATTTATGTATTTTTTTCGAGAGATTTGATTCCGTTTTTTCATCTCCTTTAATCTAATCTTTGAACTTTAATTACACTTAACTGGACGTTTATACCTTTAGCCTCATAGAAGCACGCTCAACTGAGAACACTTTCACTTAATTAGACATGCCACCATAGCAAGTTGCAGGCTATTCCAAACTTTTTTTAACTACACAAGGTCATTACCAGATAATACGCGTGCGCATCGTAGAGTAACACTTGGTCTACATCCCAACGTCATATGTGCAAACGTTTCTCTTGCTTAAAATGAATGGTCAAAACAAAAACGTTTCTCACGACCTTGTCTGTGTGCTGCATACAAAAGAAACATACAAAGTAATATCAGCGCATTTGCTTCTGACTTTACCGCCATCGTACCTCGGGACCATCCACCCCACTTTAAGAAATAGTGGATCCAAAACGCTGCTTTTACACAGGTAGGAAAACAAG